TTAAAAAGGCAAATGTTAGCTGATCCTTTTATTATTAATAATTCATGGAATATCTACTCACTCCGCTGACAACTTATTGAACTGCACTGTTGGGTCATTGAACATGTTTTTAGTGAGGGGGGACACGTAGCTTGGAACTCTGGAATATTGCATTTGAGCGTATAGGTGTGGAAATCCCATTTTGAATCGGTGTTTTCTCTCAGGCTCTCTTCTCTACTGGGAGGCTGTGGCTTCAGATAGTAAAACCCAGAGAGAGAGGGGAAGAGTAGAGGGAAGTAGTAGGTCCAGCACGGACAAGGACAGCCAATTGGATTCTACCATTTCCCAGGGGCGGGAGGGGTGACATTAGCAAGCTGGACAAGCTCTCTTTTATGTGGGTTAGGAAATTGAAATATTCTCCCACTTAAAAAAATCTTCTCTCCCTGAAGCTAAATTCACATAGATAAACAGTGAACTGTTAAGTTTGGAGACAACTGGGATGTACCGCCAAGGATTCCAGAAAGTTCTCTGACAGTCGCACAGCAGTTGGCAAACAATGGTGTTTTGAGCATTTGTATTTTATTCAGAGCTCCCACCCCTCACCTCCGCCCCATCCCTGTGCCCCAAGGAAACAAAGGAAACCACGGCAATGTTGCTTCACATCGGGCAGAGTGAAGCTGTTGACAGATTTGGTACTTTTGCTCCAGAACTCTTTTCCAGTTGCCTTCGTTTTGTTTGTGCTTCTTGTGGCTGGCTAGATGATGTCAGAAGCCGAGAGGCAGGTGGGTGGAGAGTTGTTTGTTCCTGCTCTAAGCAGAGGATTGGATGAGAGCAAATAGGAGAGAAAGCAGAAGACCGAGATGTCCAGCTTTGCCACCTCTTACTCTGTTCCTTTTCAAGGCGAGCCCCAGGTGCTCCTTGGTGAGATGAAGACAATACTTTGAGACTGAGCAGATGGAGAAGCTGATCATGGTAGCAGTGACCCGTTATGGTCACTACTGCCCTCAGTGTCCACGCCAGGCCCTGCGCCAAGGATGACAGCGGCCTTGTTTTATTTTCTCCTTCCCATCATTTCATGTCTCTTAAAAAATGTTTATTTTTATTGGAAAGGCAGATTTACAGAGACAAACATCTTCCATCCCCTGGTTCACTCCCCAGATGGCTCTAACGGCCAAAGCTGAGCCCATCAAAAGCCAGGAGCCCAGGAGCCTCTTCCAGGTCCCAAGGCTTTGGGCCATCATCTTCAGCTTTCCCAGGCCATAAACAGAAAGCTAAATGGGATGTGCAGCAGCCGGGACATGAACCAGAGTCCATATGGGATGCTGGTACTTAGAGGTGGAGGATTAGCCAGTTGAGCCATTGCACTGCCCCCTCATGATCTTGTCTTACAAAGGAGGAGACGTCCCACAATAAATGGTGAACTCAACCTCAGGCTATAACTCCAGCTAGAGGGAATCACTGTGGCAGGTCTGTAATGATCCTTCCCTAGGCCCCTATCTCCAGAGAGAGCCAAGAGATAAGAAAAGGTAACTGGCTGCAATAAATAAGGACTCCCAGAATGAGAAAGGAATTAATCACTTAATGCAGAGAACGCCCAGGAAACGCGAGCCAGAGCCAAATGTAAACCAGACAGTCCCCCCCCTTGACCTCTAAACGCCGAGCCACTTGGCTTCCCCTCCTCTTACAATTAATTGTGACCCTAGGAAATCCTGTTGTACTCCCAGCACAAGGCTTATTATTAAGTAATTTACAGCCCTGATGTGGTTCAGTTGGTCCACAGTTTATACCCTGTTTCACTAAACTATGGCCTAGTAAATTTGCAATTATGGGTTGTTGTGTTTTTTTTTTTTCATCGATTCATTTTAATCGTAGCGTTCAACCCTGGAGATCATGTTTCCAGATTGTACCTAAGCCAAGCTGAAAGAGACACCCACAAAGGAAAATGGCTCGGCAGGAAGAGGTGGGGTGGAGAGTGTGCAGTGGCCGACTGGAATGTCTGACTGCTTAAACCACAAGCTGTGAACCCCCAGAACGAATGCCCTGAGCACAGTGGGTGCCTGGGCAAGAGCAGAGGTGCACCCACCCTTTCCCTAAACACCCACAATTTGTGGTTGATGGTAAAGAGTAGAAACAATAAGTTTGCCTCACTACTTATCTAAGCACTAATTTCATTCGGTAACCTGTCAAAAAGCCTTTAAAAAGAATGAATACCTCTGAGTTCCACTTCTACTCCATCTAGAAACATCACCGTGGGGCCACAGCAAGTCAGACAGAAAGGGCTTGGAAGCCCCCAACACCCTTCCTTTCTGATCTGTTGTTTGCCATTTTAGAAATGCTCAAGGTGAATTGTCCTTTTTTATCAGCCTGTACTGAAATATCGAAACCTTCTATGACAAATGAAAACCAAAGATGTTTTATTAAAAATGCATGACTGTGTTTTTATATAGACTTGCTCACAGCAGTTTGCTTTTATAGTGAAACAAGGGAATAATTAAGTAAATCATGATATTCCATTCAAGGGAGCAGCCTTTTGGAATTATGTTTAGCAACAGGTTTTAAAAACTCGGGCCCGGCGCGGTGGCGCAAGTGGTTAAGGTCCTTGCCTTGCACGCCCGGGATCCCATATGGGTGCCGGTTCTATCCCGGCAGCCCCGCTTCCCTTCCAGCTCCCTGCCTGTGGCCCGGGAAAGCAGTCGAGGACGGCCCAAAGCTTTGGGACCCTGCACCCATGTGGGAGACCCGGAAGAGGCTCCTGGCTTCGGATTGGCATAGCATCGGCCGTTGCGCTCACTTGGGGAGTGAATCATCGGACGGAAGATCTTCCTCTCTGTCTCTCCTCTCTGTATATCCGCCTTTCCGATAAAAAAAATAATAAAAATAAATCTTTAAAAAAAATAAATAAATAAAAATAAAAACTTGTACCACAGGCTGCAAAATTATGTGTGTCTGCCACAAATACAGCCTTAAAGTTTTTTTTAACTGAACACATATAAAATCAAAACTTGCAGTAGTTATTTAATGGACAATAGTCTTGTGAGTGATTTTTATGTTTATGTTTTTTTATTTCTATCTTTTTAATAATTATAATTATCAAATCATGTATGTCTCTATGTATACACATAGAGGTCAATGCAGTTATTTAAGAATACTTCACCTGGGCCCGGCGCGGTGGCGCAAGTGGTTAAAGGTCCTCGCCTTGCACGCCCGGGATTCCATATGGGCACCGGTTCTAATCCCGGCAGCCCTGCTTCCCTTCCAGCTCCCTGCCTGTGGCCTGGGAAAGCAGTCGAGGACAGCCCAAAGCTTTGGGAACCTGCACCCGCGTGGGAGACCCAGAAGAGGCTCCTGGCTTTGGATCGGCATAGTATCGGCCCATTGCGCTCACTTGGGGAGTGAATCATCGGACGGAAGATCTTCCTCTCTGTCTCTCCTCTCTGTATATCCGCCTTTCCAATGAAAAAATAATAAAAATAAATCTAAAAAAAAAAAGAATACTTCACCTGTTTGGAACTCAGCTATCTTGAAAATCTGCAATATAGTGAAGATCCTGGAAGTGATAAGAAAATATATTCTGAGCAGCCAAAGCCAGTGTTGTAAGGTTTATAGGGAAAAAAAGGCCAGGGAAGGAGCCTCAGACCTGGCATTCAGACTGTGTCGGCCCCTGCTTCACCCACGGTCCCCAGGACACCTGCTCTATGCAGGCCCCACCAGTAGTCCAGACCAGCAGCAGGATAGTTACACAGGAGCAGAAGGGCTGCTGCAGGCAGGTCGGACAGCAGGAGCCGACATGGGGCACGTCCCATGCTGACTTCACTCCAAGACCCAGTCCTGGGCCTCAGGCCACTATGAGGACCTGTCTGACTGTGTCATCACTGAATGATGGCATGGTTGTATCCATGGTCCAGAAGTCATCAAGAAAATAACTTTTTCAAATTGTAAAAAACTCTTCAACAAATGTTTTTGGAAAGTTTCATCTCATGTAGCTAAACATAGAAGGCAAAGAACAAAAGGGAATAATAGGACAAGCCTTAGTTGTGTCACTTCTTTGTTGTCTATCCATAAGAGCTCGTTTTCTTACCATTCTTTATATATATATTTTTTTCCTTTGTAGCCTTCTTTTTTTTTTTAAAGATTTATTTTTATTGGAAAGGCGGATATACAGAGAGGAAGATCTTCCGTCCGATGATTCACTCCCCAAGTGAGCACAACGGCCGGTGCTATGCCGATCCGAAGCCAGGAGCCTCTTCCGGGTCTCCCACGTGGGTGCAGGTTCCCAAAGCTTTGGGCCGTCCTCGACTGCTTTCCCGGGCCACAGGCAGGGAGCTGGAAGGGAAGCAGGGCTGCTGGGATTAGAACCGGCGCCCATATGGGATCCCGGGTGTGCAAGGCGAGGACCTTTAACCACTTGCGCCACCGCGCCGGGCCCGGAAGAATATTTTTTAAAAAAAATCAGGGTGTCACTGAAAATGAAGTGTCATGTCCCACATTCATTGTTCATTTAAAAATAAATGAAAGTCCCGCTTCACCCCAACCTCCCTCTAAGGCAGGGTGATCAGCACCTGGCCTGAGAAAGGTTGCGGCCAAGAAGTGGTGGGTCACAGGAGCGGGTCTAGCTTTGTCATTGCCTCACTGAGTCCTTGCAGGTATGTCGCTGAACCTGGCCACAGAATGAGGACTGCTTTGTGAAGATAAAATCGGGATTAATTAGTAAGACAGCCACTGATAATCAGGAGTGTCCCTTGAAATGAGGAGTTGATTGCATGTCTTAGTGAGTTCCTTTCTACAAGGACTCCAGCCAGTTCCTCTTCCCCTGTGCGACCCCACTCACCCATCTCTGAGTATGGATGGGGTGGGCCCAGCCTGCCTCATGCCGTGTCTCAGCTCCAGACACTGAAATAAATACTAACAACTGCTGTCTACTTTTCCTGCCCTCCACACGTGCATATCCTGTCTGTGGCTCCAGGAGTTTCCCAGGCGAGCCTTGCAAGAAGGCGTAACTCTCCTTTCTGTTTGTCTCCTAGCGACAGGCATCACACCTCCAGTGCCATCCCTGTTCCCAAGAGACAGAGCTCCGCCTTCCGAGGTGCGGATGGCGGCTTTTCCGGGGCCTTCCCTTCCCCAGACCCAGGACGCCGCAAGCGGGCCAGCTCAGAGAACGAGAGACTGCAGTACAAAACCCCACCCCCCAGCTACAACACGGCCCTGGCCCAGCCTGCCGCGGCCACGCCGCCCGGGGCGGAGTCAGAGAGAAAGGCAGCGGCGGCGCTGTCCTCCTCCTTGGACACCTCCTTGGACTTGTCCAAAGAAAGCAAGAAAAAAGGAGTGGATCTGGAGGACAGCTTGAACAGAGAGTCCTTGAGCCTGCACACCAGCCAGGAGCAAGGAGAAGGCCTCGCCGGGCACTTGGCCACGGTGAATGGAACGGTGCTATCCGGCGAGCAGGCAGGCCCGGCCATGGCTGCCCAGCTCCCGGGTGTGTTCCCCCCAGCCTCGGCCTCAGAGGCTGAGCTGTGCTGCACTGTGGAGCAGGCAGAGGAGATCATCGGGCTGGAAGCCACTGGCTTCACATCGGGCCACCAGCTGGAAGCCTTCCACTGCATCCCAGTGGACAGTGCGGTGGCCGTGGAGTGTGATGACCAAGTCCTGGGGGAGTTTGAAGAGTTCTCCCGGCGAATCTATGCACTGAATGAAAATGTCTCGAGCTTCCGCCGGCCACGCAGGAGTTCTGACAAGTGAGGCGAACAAACACGCCCTCACTGGGGCCACCGCCCCTGACACACAGGGGGAAGCTGCACTCACCCTTTGTAAGAATGATGGCACACAATACACAGAGCCAGAGGAGATCCTCAGAGACCCAGGCTGGACAGTCGACGGGCAGGTCAGGGCCAAGGTCTGCGTTCACTGTCATGATTGGCATGTCAGGCCCGATGCTTGTTCCAAGGCGAAAGTCACCCTCTAGTTGCGAAGAGAGCTTGTAGCTCGAGTCACCTGGCACACAGCTGTGCTTTATTTACACTTGTATGTTATCCCCAGAGGGAAGATGATAATATATACATAATATAATGAACTCACCTTTAGTTTCTCGCAAGCATCTGCCCTCTACCATAGTTCGTGAAACTGTGGAGCCACAGAGTATTCAGCAATAGCTTTCTGCCATTTCCTGAAAGGGCTGTGGCTGTCCATCAGGAGATTGGGCAAGAACTATAATAGAGGTCTCCTTGTACCCCAGACCCTCATCCCCTGCCCCCAGGCACAACTGTAGCCCACCTATAGACCCCTCTGTTGCCCCCACCTCCACAATGGATGGGCCGTACAGCCTGAGAACCGAGAATGTCACATTCACTGGCTCTTTAACTCCATTGCTGGGATAGTCCATCTTACCCAGTCAACCCTGACCTCCTACTTCCTCCGCCCCACCCCAGTGTACCCCTCAGCTTAGAGAGTGTGCCTCCTGTGGAGCCCAGGCGGTTCTCCAAGACCCTGGGACCACTATACTCAGAGGGCAGCCAGTCCCCCAGGGGCCAAAGTGTTCAAGCGGGCAGATGCTGCGTGCAAGAACCAGGCATGCTTTCTGGCCGTGCACTCGGCAGACAAAAAAAAATCCCTGTGTGTGAATCCCATGCTAATTTATGAAATTTCAATCTGAAGGAAGACATTGAACTCATATCTGCTGAAACCTAAGTAGAGACGGCAGTCGGACTAGTGGGATTAGAGACTAGATGAGGCATAGAATGTTATTGGTTATGTGTGCAATTTCAGAAATATTAAATTATGTTTTTGAATTCCAGTTTGTCATTCCTGCATTCAGAATTCATTTGCTGTTGCTTTACACATTATGTACCCAAGGACATTGCCTCAGGGTTGCAAACTCCTTAAGGAAAATTTATCTATATATCCATGTATTATATAGAAGAATAAAAACTGATTACTTCACTTAACTTGCTTTTTTTTTTTCTCCAGCTTTGAAATTCTCCTGACACACCTCATTATGTTACTTCCTGGCAGGACCAGCCCAAGCAGAAACCCATGCAGGTTCACATTCTTGCCCTTATCCATGTTTACACACTAGAGCAATATGGTGCTCACAGGGGCACTGCCTCCAGGACCTGAGCTTGTCCCCCAAACCACCTAATTCAGACCCCTCATGGTCTTGTTCCTTTTTCCCAAGCATCCCTGGACTCAGCTTTAGTTTTCGACGAACTCATTCCATGAAACAGCACCTGTTGCCAGTTCTTCATACAGAGATCTCACAGGATGGTTACACAGCCTTCCAGCAACTGAATGCTTCCACCTGACCCGACCAGGGCCAGCTTTGTCCACAAGAAGAGGCAGGGTCCTTCCCACCCTGGAGTGGAACCCCTTACCCATGCACTGTCCTAAGTTGCAGACTTGCACAGGGTAGGGAGGGTGTCTTGGATGCGCATGGTGCTATGAAGTGTTAGCCAACTTAAGACACACTGCGGAAGGTCAGTGTTAGTGTTACAGAATGGGAGGCAGGCCCCCCACAGGTGACATGGGATGCCCCCACACACGGGCACCCGTTTCACCTCCGTGTCACACTCAGCCCAGGGACATGCAGCATGGCTATGGTCTTGTTGGGATGTAGAACCCCAGTGAAAACCCTGGCAATTCTGATGTTCCTCTCAGATTCCACATCCCTCTGGGGGTGGGGGATGGCCCGTCAGGGCGCACTGTGCAGAGAGCCCCTGGGCCCAGCCTCTACAGCTTTCACTGTCCCCTGGGGGGCCCTGCCCTGCCCTTGAGCATGAGTCCTCAGAACAGGCCAGCTGCTTTGGCCCACACTGTCCAGTGACAGATGCCTCAGGATGCCACTTAGCTTTGGGGCTCAGAATTTTCATCTGAGCTGCTGGAAAGTTTCTACCACAACCTGGGGAGAAGGTACAGTATTTTGTCTATCTCTAGGAAAAGTCCGTCAACATCTTCCAAAGCTACGGGATTCATTTTAAGTGGACAAGTCCATAATATGGCATGCATGCTGTCCCTACTAACCTTCATTTAATTCGTCTCGTAAATCACTAAGAAAAATCTCACAGAATTTGCTTGGAAGATGCACGTCGCAGAACTCCTTGCTGCCTACTTCTGAACTACAGCAAGCCCTTTCCGTTTTCATAACACCCAGATACTTGTAACATCCAGCAAGGGTTATCAGGTGAATATCCAATTGTTTTCTCTTGCCACTTCCCCCTTAACCACCTTAGAAATTGCACAGACTTGTTTCCCCTTCAGAATACTAGTTTTGGAAGATTGTATCCAGCTCTTTTTTTTTTTAAGCCATTCTAATGGTGCCCATTTATCCTGACCTCACCGATTATTTAAATAATTTTTTAAACCACCACCAATAATACATGTGGCATGTGAAACTGATCTGTTGTTAACTGGAAGAAAATTCAGCATCTGTATTTATAAAATAAAATTGATTAGTATTTATTTGGAGAGTTCAAAGTGTACATTGTTTTCCTGCCATGTTTGAGTGCTGCCCTCATTGTTTTGAATTTCATCGTGAAGCTGCGTTAACTATGGAAAACCTGGTTCTGCAGCAACAGGCAGCCGTTCAGCGTGGCCTGGGCGAGCTCAGTGCTCTCGCTTCCTGCTCAGACCCTGGGCGGGGCAGAGTTAACCACATGGAGATTCATTAAGTCCTGACCGCCACCACATTTCCCTAATGGGGCCAAAGTGTCTTCACAATTAATTAGAATTCGATGTGGTGGTAATGCTATGATGGACAAAGGCGGAGCACTGGGCCCTGGAATGCAGAGACAGCTGTTCTAACTCAACAGCCAGAAGGCTGAGCAGATGAAAGATACTTAAAGAGTTCACGTCCCGGAGGGAGACAGCCCAGCGAGCAGAGGCCCGAGGCAGCCCAGCGCCTCGTGTGAGAGTGGCAAACAGCAGTGGAAGAGACGTGAAGCAAGGTGAGGGCAGAGAGCCAGTGCAGGCTGGTGGGGAAGGGCTCCCGGTGCCCAGCCAAGAGGTTTGGACAAACACGGTGGCCTATGTGGGGGCTTGAGCTCAGGAGAGTAGCTGTGTTCCATCTGGATGGAGGCTGAAGGCCGGCGACACACTTGAGTTGTCCTCACCTGTGACAGAGGTGACGGAGGCGTGGACTTGGTCCCCAGTGTGGTCAGAGCTTCCCAGTGAGGAAAGCTGGTCTTGCTGTGTGCCAGGGCACAGCTGGCATCTGTGAGGAATCTGCAGTGGCCATCGCTCTCCTCTGCAGCTCTGCTACTCTGAAGCCATGGCCTCGGGTGGATCACTGAACTCCTAGGAACCCCCACATCTGTGACAAATCACAAAGAATTGTGCCCTTGCGGCTCGCGTTTGTTGGGGGCTTACAGCACCACAGTGTGGGGAGGGGAGGCCCTTCAGGTCCTCTCCTTCTTGACCAGGGGATGTCTTAGCCGTGACCCTTGGTCATTGTCAGGCTTCCTGCACCGGTGCTGGATCTAGCTCCCAGTCCAGGAAGCATGGGTTCCCCCCACCTTGCCCGCCCACCCCGGGGTGTGGAAAGTGTGTGGGAAGCCGGGCACGTGTTAAGGAAGGGATATGATGGTCTCCATGAAGCACATGCCCGGTGGGACGGGTGGTTCACACCAGGTCTCCTGGGCATCCTACTCATCAGTCCTTGGAGGGGCCACTGAAACACAGAGATGTATTTGTTACACAAAGTGCATGTCCCAGACAGACCTGGACTTGGGTATTGGGAATGGGGAGCTCGAAACCAGCAGAAAGCAGTGCACTGCCTGGGCACCCCAAGCCTCCAAGGCTGCCTCCTGCCAGGGCACCCTCCGCTCTGGTTGTCCCCTGCACGCAGACTCGGTGCCTGTGGTTGGGATTTTGCACAGAGTAAAGAGCTTTCTTTTTCTTTCACTTTTCTTCCTCCCCTGAGCGCGTCTAATTACAATTTTATAGGTAGACAGCTCAGCCTTGTGGATTTTAAATGAATCTTTTAAAATACATGTCTAGAAAACAATTCCAACTTGAAACAAGGGCCAGGAGTCCAGAAAAAGGAATCTGGATAAAAGTGAGAATGACAGGCAGCTGAAGAAACAGCTACAGCCAGGCCCAGACATTCAACTCAGGGACACTTGCTATTGACCCTAAGGCTAGACCATCAGAAAGAGAATGCATTCATTTTAGTTTGATGGGGAAACACATAGTTTTAAGGAAGCATATCCTTTCAAATGGTTAAAATGTATATATATTTTTAATATATTATATATATATATCTATTTAATCTTATTTGAAACGTGAGGAGAGAGATCTACCAGCCACTGGTTCACTCGCCATATGCTTATAACAGCCACAGCTAGGCCAGAGCAAAGCCAGAAGCCAGGCCCTCATCTGGGTCTCCCATATGGCTGCTGGGCACCCACGTTCCTGAACCGTCACCTGCTCTTTCCCAGGTTGTTAGCAGGAAGTTAGAAGCAGCACTTGAACTCCCATAAGGCATTCAACCATGAGACCAGACATCAGCATTAATGCTGTAAGGGACATGCCTGTTCTAACCTCCAGTGCTTGCCTGCAGGCAGCACTGGGCTCAAAGGTTCTTGTAGGGATGCCAGTGTCAATACCAGGGTGCCAAGTTTCCAGCTCCCTGCTAATGTACACACTGGGAGGCAGCACTCCCCACCTTGGGTGATGGCTCAAGTACTTGGGTCCCTGCCACCAACATAGGAGACTTATATTAAGTTTTGGGCCCCTAACTTCAGCCTGGCCCAGCCTGTGTGTTGCAAATACTGATGGTATCTTCTCTCTCTGCCTTTCAAATAAATAAAAACAAAATTGTAAGTTAATTTACTTGCAAACAATTGTTTTTAGTTCACTTCTAGAAAGCAGCCCCTTCCTCCCAGAACTTGTGTGTTCTGCAAATGACTTGCTCTTTGGGGCAGGGCTCAGCCACGCTTGATTATGGGGTGTGCACCTCCCAAGCCACCTTATGCACAAGTGATGTCCCCCAGAACTTCCTAACCTCAAGGCCTGGCTCTTTGCTTTCCGAAACCAACCTGTCACTCGGACTTCTCCACCTGGCCACCTTGATCCCCAGGGGCAGTGGGCCTTGGGACAGGGGGAGTGTGGAGGTGGTCTAGCACCCCCTAGAGGTTGGACTCATGCCTATGTGGGTCTCTGGAAGCTCAGCCAAGGCCCACCAAGGCCAAAGTAGGCATCTGGAATCACCTGTGACCCTCGGAGGCAGAGAAGAGGTGTGAGCCTGGGATGGAAGGATTGTCCTGTAGATTCCCTAAGACCATGTGAGCCACCAGCCAGGACATCAGGGCCACCTGGGGACATCTGCCCACAGCTCCCATATGTCAAGCACTGGACAAGGCTCCAGGGTGAGAGGTACCCAAGGCAGGCACAGTCCTCTCCCTACCCTAAAGGTGCCAGGCAAATGTCAGGGGATACAAAATTACAGATGGAACTGGCAGATAAGACGGGTAGTCACGGAGGAAGGGGCATGACCTTGTAGCCAGAGGAGCAGGCAGGGGCTTGGGAGGAATCACCGCGCATGCACAAGGTTAGTGAGGAGTGGAAAGGGGGGTAGGAATAAGCCTCAAGGAGCTGTGCCCCAGGTCACACTTGGGAAGGAGGCAGGCAGAGAAACAGGAAGGACACCCTGGGAACTGGGAACACTGGGGAGTGACTGGTGCAGGGACTGTGGCAGGCTGTGGACTGGGTGTAGCCATCATTTCCCTGGTGACCTCCAAAAGAGGCACTTCCGATATGGAGGATGAGTGAGGATGCAGGTGGTACCGGGAAGTGGGAGTGACCGCGAGGAGGTGGGCCCAGGCAACAGAAGCATTCCCGCAAGCAGCATGTCCGTGGCCGTGGCTGTGGCCGTGGCAGCTGGAAGAGAAAGGTTTCTTGCCAGTGCCAGCAAGAGGAGGCAAAGCAGGGAGAGGACAAGGGTTCTGGGA